CCCTCGCCAATTGGATCGCGTGTAGCCGGACCCCCCGGAGATGCCGGGACACGTTGCCCTCGACGACGCACGGGTTGTCCACGTGGCCCCGCAGGGAAGGGTATCGCAGCAAGCAAGTGGAGATCTCGTGAGCGCGGCCGGCTTCAGCTGCCCGGATGAATTTCATGGTGCACCCCAGCCGGCCCTCAAGCGCGGTAGCGGCCGGAGGCGTCGAGCGCTCGCTTTCGATGCGGGATGCGACCAGGCGCATCGCCGCCTTGTACAAGCGGAGGCGTATCAGCGCGGAAGCCTCGGGATGGTCCTGGCGAGCCGCAAGATATTCCAACGCAGCCCTCCTGGAGAAGTCTGGGTGCGACAATGCTGAGGACGGGGGCGGCCGTAGATCGTCGTCGCCATGTTGAGGGGTGTGCCGAGCGAAGAAGACAGCCCGGTGGTGGGAGAGGTCGTGCCGCCACTCCAGCGCGGAGCACCGGATGTGCCTGTCCAGCTGGTCCGCCAACGGGAAGTTTGCATATATACGGTCGAGGCGGGACCGCGCGGAGGCCGAGGCGTGGGTGAGCTCGCCTTGGAACATATCCGAGAGGTTGTACCTGTCGCCGATGGTCGCCTTAAAATGCTGCTCATCGCGATTGTCCCGGTACCCCGTGTAGGTCATCGTGTTCAGCGCAATCCTATCCTCTTCCTTGGTGACGTAATTGAAGTCGCCCCCCAACACCGTGAGGCAATCTTCGGGGGAAGCCAGGGCGTCGCGCACTTTGCACCGCAAGCAGGAGCGCAGGTCGAAGTAGGAGTGGATGAGGCCATGCCTGGCGGCGGGGACGCCGTCAAGGTCCGCTCCCTCAGGCGCGCTGTGGTTGCCCGCGTGCGCGTAGACCACCACCAGGTCCAGAGCGCCGCGGGTACCCCGGAGACACAACTTGGCGGCTCGACCGCGCCAGATGTGGACCCAGCGGGGAGGTTCCGAGAATAATCGGAGGAACGTGTCTCGAACGATCACGCCGACCCCGGCCTGCCCCGCCGAGGCCCCTTCAGACCACCAAGCCGTGGTGCCCGGCGGTGCCTTCCATGTCGAATTGCTGGTCTCCGTGCCATGGGCTTCGGTGATCAAGCACGCGTCGGATTTGGTCATCAATTTCGCGACGTACGAGATCTTCGCAGTGGAGCGATATATGTCAGACGCAAAGAGAGCTTGGGCGTTCCACGTCGTAACGGTGAAGTCTCCCAAGAACTGCCCTCGCCGACGATCGAAGCCACTTGGCAGAGCACGAGGACGAGATACCGGCGGCGGCAAGATACGGCCAGCAGGAACAGCACCAAGCGCTCGCAGAACTCGCATACGTCGATAAATGTGCACCGGGACGTCACCGCAGGTGTCGTCGGCGTCGGGCGTAAGCTCGTCAGCAGAGAACAGGAGAGGAGGGAGAGCAAGGCGGGGCGCCATCGCGCTCGCGTGGCGCTGGCCGCCCCTAGCACATGGCGAATCACGTGCGCGAGAGGGAAGGGAGGAGTGAGAAGAAGAGGGCAGAAGGGAGGCGTGCATAGAATGCTCAGCAGAAAAATCTGGGCCAGCAGGAGACGGAGGCTGAAGGTCAGGCCGCGACGGCGAAGAAGGCGAAATGCAATCCACGTGGGCGCGGAAGACGAGCAGCACGGCGAAACCTGCGAAGCCCTCCCAATCAATGCACCGAATTCCGAGGTCAACGACCGACCTCGATCCCCTGAGGCGCCCGGCCTCGCGGGCTCCGGGGGCGCCTAGGGCCGGGCCCGCGGGTCGTTTCCCGTCTCCGCCGCGAGGTCCATCATGTCATTCACCACCTGCACGCGGATCATGTCCTGACCGACCTGGATCGCCTGCCCGTGGAGGGTCGTGTACAACATGGTGATGTCCGCCTTCGTCTCGGCCAACACCTTGATGACCCCCCCTGGCATGGGCAGCGCGTCACGGGGCACGTGGTAGAACTCCCCTGGTTTAGGGTGGTCGGAGTTCGTCGCCAGGGTGAGGGCGATGCCAGTGGCTTCGACGGCGTGGCGCATCAGGCGTGACATCACCTCCTGGTCCTGCAGCCCCAGCTCGCCCTGAACCCGCACCTCCGCGATGAAGTCGGAGATGGACTTGGGTTTCCCGGCCCTCCGCTTGGCAGCAGCGGAGCGCGGGGCCGTCGCGGCGGCGGTGGCGATAGCCCGGCCACCGAATCTGGAGGGGCGATGTTTGAGGCGGGTCGCAGCGTTGCCCGGGTCGCGCTGGTAGATCGTGTCCAAAACTGCGGCCCAGGTGTCTGGAGAAGCATCCGAAACCACCAAGAATCTCGTCGCGCTGAGCGCGGACATCTGGGAACACAGCGCCCAGTAGTGGTCAAAGACCCCTGGCCCATTGCATTCCAAGATGAACGTGTTCACGTCCGCTGCCAAATCCTTGAGGCCAAAGAACGTCGTAGCAGGAAGATGGGAGCGGCGGAGCTCGCGTAGGGTGGTGAGGAGGTCGAAATAAGTGAGGTGGTTGGGGAACACGACGTCCACGGACAGGCGCGGCACCCCCTGGGTGCTGAGGTGGCTCTTGCGGTGTGCCCGGGGCGTGGCACCGGCCACCCACGGATGTGCGAGGAGCGCCATAAGCACCTGCAGGTCGTCTACCAGCATGTCGAAGGTCACAGCGCGGGCCGCTTCGATCTGGAAGAGCGGGGTCATGGAGATCATGCGGGGGAGGCACCTGCCGCCGTTCAGCTGCAGCGAGAACATGCTCAGTCCGTGGTGCTGCACCCGTGGAGCCCCCGACATCGTGGGCATTATCACCTCAAAGGGGAAGGAGATGAAGGCAACGTCCTTGACGAGGGGGACCCACCGTTCGGACAGCAGTGGGAACGAGCAGATGTCCGTGATGTTGGTGATGTTGGTGAGGCCCGTCGTCAGCGGGATCGTGGAGATCATGACCACTGTGACGGGGCGAGGCTGGTCAGCCACGCGCCGCAGGAGGGAGGAACGGAGGCGGGTCTGCGCGTTCGCGTCCTCGGGGATCCACAGTACGGGGACCCTGCCCGCCAGGCGGTCCCATAGTTCCTCGTTCCCCTTCTCGGTCAGCGACGCGATCACCCTGCAGAGGCGGGGCTCATGCAGGGCAGGGTCACGCGCTTTGAGCACGTCAGACCATTGCGTGAAGAGCTCCACGTTGGGAAGGTTGATGTTCTGCTTGAGGGCGGAGATTGCCTCCAGCCCGAGCTCCCGATAGAGGGGCAGGCGGTCAGGCTTGATCCTCCGCCGCTCCTTGAGGATCCTGGGGAGCTCGTCCTCGCATCTGGGCGCCGCGGCGATGAACTCGTTCATGAGGGTTCGAGCCTTCGCTGCGTCGTCCTGCGGCCAGCCCTGCGCCGAGGAGAGGGAGATCACCTCGCAGGCGGCCCTTCCCCTGGCCACGATATCGATGTCCGTCGGGTCGGGGCCCTCGAGCCTCGCAAACCCTAGGAGCGCCCAGTGGTCGCGGGCCGATACGTTGTAGCCCAGCCGAGTCAAGATGGACACGAGTCCGGAGTAGTCCTGGGGGAGCTTGACGGGGAGCGACTGCGGGCCGGGAGCGTCCGACGAGGGAAGGGAGGAGTGCACCAGCTCGAAATGGTGCAGGACCTCGTTGTCCACCCAGCTCTGCAGGAAGATCTCGCGCGGCGAGGGGCCCTCGAGTCCCGGCGGTCGCACTGCGTCCGCTGGCGCCGCCGCTGGCACTGGGGCCGCCGGCGCCGCCGCTGCAGCGGAACCCGCAGCATGCGCGGCAGCCGCAGTCCTCGTGATGGTCTCCTCGTCCACCTCGATGTCATCGAGCTCGGCCAACGTCTGCGACACCCCAGGGTTCTCGGTGCCGTTCATCTGGAGGTCCGCCACGCCCTGCGTGGCTCCAGTGCTCTGGTCGTCACCCATGTTCGCCGCCGCGGCGGCCGGAGCTGAGAGGGGGGTCTGAAAGTAGGAGGAGAGGTGTGATACAGGTGCGATTGGGAATTTAAGGGGGTACAGCTCCTGAGCTCCTGAGCTCCTTGAGGCTTGGGCTCTTGAGCCAAACAAGCGCCACCGTACCAGGTGCTGCGCTGGTACGGTGGCGTTTGCTTGTTTTTTTAGATCGTTTTTCGTTTTGTTTTGTTTGTGTTGTTTTTCTTGTTTTTGGTTCCTTTATGCCATTGGACGGCGCGACGGCGTGCCGCCCGAGCGAGGCGGGAAGCCTAGGAGAGCGGCAGGAGCCCGCGAGGCCCGGCGGCCCCGCGGCGTACGGGGCTGGCGGGCGGGCTTTCTCTTATAGATCCACTACGTAGACCTGCTACGCCGCGGAGCCTGCCGCGGGCAGCTGGCGTCACTTGCCGCGGGCAGCTGGCTCAAAGCAGACAAAGAGCCATGTTGTGCTTCGTCTCCTCCTCCTCCTCCTCCTCGTGTTTTTACCTCCTCCTCCTCCTCCTCCTCCTCCTCCTCCTCCTCGTGTTTTCTACCATCAGTGGCGAACTCAAGCGCCGAACTGATCACAAGAGACGCTGCTTCAGCGCAATGAGGCTGGAGCGAGAAGGCGCTCTATCCGAAGTCACCCAGAGGATCGAACACATCCAGGTCCAAGGCATCCGCTTTCTTCTTGTCGGGATGCCTGCATGCTTGGTATTGCGCCAAATTAAACTTCCATTGAGGTGTAGTGCAGGCTAGCCCTGCTGGGGTTGGCCTGCTTTCTGCTTCCTCTGCCTGTCTCGCCCTCGCTCCTCCACCGAATCAGGCACCTCGGTCCCGGAAAGAGTCCTACCGATGGCGGTAGCGCGCGGAGGGTCACCCTCCCCTTGGCCAGAGCAAGCGCACGGAGGGCCCCACTCCCCTTGGCCATGGCAAGCCCGCGCGGGCCTGCTACACGAATACAGAATGCTCCGCGTGCTCGCGAGCGTGTCATTGGGCACACCTCGTTTTGCCTGTGCGCCCTCTCGGGTGCACGGCTTTTGACCGACTGACTGGCTGACCGACAGCCACGGTCGCCGCCCCCATGGGCTAGCCTAGAAGAGGAAGCCTCCGCGCACTGCCAGACACAGGGGGCGCAGCGGAGCCACTGCTCGCGCCGACGCGCCCCGAGAGAGCGCCATAAAGGGATCCCTACTCTCGGGGAAACCAAAAAAGGTGCTGATACCGCTACTCCCCGGGCCTCTCCCGGGGTGCGTTCTGACCCGGATTGCCAAGCGAATCCAGCGGTGGCGGCGACGGATGCCCAGGAGGCCCCCAAAAAGGGGAAAACGAGGGGAGGGGAGAGGTGTGGGCATCGTTTCCGCCTCTGCGTTCTGCGGGCCCCTGCCCCCCACCCTCCCCCGCCCCCCAAGCGTCGGGCCCCTGCTCTGGGAGCGAGAGGACGGGTGCATTGCAGGCAAACGTCTGTGCCGCCTCGTCGTACTCTGAGGTGACGCCCCAGCCGGAGGCCGAGACACCGAGTTGCTCGCAACTGCACCTTGCAAGCTGCACCGTCCCTTCGGCGTCCACGGGCGCGGAGAGAGGGAGCAGGAGGAGGGAGCAGGAGAAGCCAGGCTCCCAGCATGACTGGGTCGTACGTGCCGTCCACTCCCACCTCAGCCTTGTCGCTGGCACCTCGCTGAACATTCTCGAGCAAACACGGAGAGAACAGATCGCCGGAAACATGAGCGCTCGGGAACAGGAGCAATCACGGCTCCACGCAGAACGTGCTCAGCCATATCAAGCAAAGGCACGCTGTCGCCAAGAATGGCGCAGGCTAGCGATACAAAGACGATGCAAGTTTGCGCCAGACTGCAGTCGGGGCGTTGACCTAAGGAACGATAGATAAGGAACGAGGCCCCCTTTTCACATGAGTGAACCTTCGATTTCCTGTCGAGAACATAGGGAGAAGCCTGAGGCAAGCTTTGAAATACTTAAGGAACGCGGAGCCCCTCCCCAACGAAAAGGGTTCCTTCTTCAGGGCCCCGACTGTACAAGCACATGTGCAGACGGAGCAGCCTGCTGACTGGCAGCGAATGGCCGCAGCCGGGCCCTTCATCGTGCGAGGGCGCCTGAGCAGAGGACAGCACTGCCTAACTTCCTCCGGAGAATGTGAAAGTTAGATGCGAACAGCAAGTCTCAAGAAGAATCCGACCATCGCTTCACAGGACGGGGGAGCAGGAACTGGCATGAGGCCACTTTGCACGGCGAGAGCCCTCATTTAGAGATCTTTGTTGGGGTGGCTTCGTCGCGAGCTGGCCCCTGCGGAGAGATGGTCTCTGAGAGCTGACCCTGACGGCGGTTGCGGATCAAGTGTTTTACTTCTGGCCAGGCCAGCGGGTCAGGCGGTCC